AAACATGTCGATTGGACGTCTGGATTAAAACTTCCAAATCTCGTGTATATATAAGCGAGTCAATTCAGCATGCTACTGTGGCTGCTTTCGTCACTCGCGCACACTGCCGTGCGCTGTGATATGCAATAACTAAATACAAAACGAATGGCTGCAATGAATAAAAAAAATAAAAATGTTTTTTAATTGAATTGGATATGAAAATTTACATGAAAAAATATTTTTCACGTGATTGAAACGTTTGCATACATATAAAACGTACACTATGGTACAATTGTTACGAACGAAAAGCAAACGTTTCTCGTTGGGGAAACTGACAGTGAATCTTACAATTTGTTTCTGACTGTGTACAAAACTGTACAAAACCACAAATGATATGATGATCGATGAGCAAATGGGAATTGTTTTGTACAGTTTATTTTCGTACCCTGATTTGAATACATAATTTAGATTTGGATAATGTTTTTAGCAAATTAATTGAGAAAAGTAAAACATTTAGGTTTTTTTTTGTATTCTTGTCGATTTTAAATTTGCTACCCCAAAATAATTGATATCAAATAAAACACCTCCTTGAGAGCCGAAAACTGAACTAGAAACACAAAATTTGTGATATCAATCATGATAAAAACATAGCAAGGTAGAACCTTTCTCTCAATTTGTCGGCCATGATTTTTTTTTGAAGTTTTCCAACATTTTAAAATCATATAAAAGTGAAAATCAAAATTGAAATTGTTCGAAATTGTTGTTGCTTGAGATTGAAAATGAAAATGTGTGTGTGAGTTTGTGAGTAAATTTAAAAATTAAGTTGTTTGGAAACGTCAAGAATTTTAAAAGTGACTCTCAGCGGTCATACCTTACTATATTTTTATCATAATATCAATTTCGTGCTGAAAATTATACGCATTTTTTAACTGCCTTTGAAACGTACGGAAAATCTTTTTTTATTTATTCGGAACGTTGGAAATTCCGTCTTATGCTAGAAACACAAAATAAAAAACAGAACTTTTGTAACGATTCGAGTGAATAAAAAGATTTTCCCTACGCTTCAAAGGCAGTTAAAAATGCGTATAATTTTCGTCACGAAATTGATATCACAAATTTTGTGTTTCTAGTTCAGCTTTCGTCCTTCGAAAATTTTACCTCAAAGAGGTGTTTTATTTGATATGTATATCCATACATGAGCAAATATGCCATATGGAGTTACACCGCGCGGTACCATACCGCTGCTGCTTGAGCAAACCTTTATAATGAAAACAGCTCTTATAAAGTTTTTATTTTGTTTCTTTAAATAGAAAAGTTCTTTATAAGTAAAGTCTATCTTAAACTGAAGCATTTTCATCTAAGCTAAAGGCCCGTTGTTAATTTTGAAATTTTAGCAAAAGTCATTATAAACCATTTATGAGATTGAAAACGAAAAACGTGAAGCGCATGCAATACAAAGCATTAGATTTAATTGACAATAGTCAAACTACATAACATAGGCCTAAATTTTCTACAGAGAAAGTACAAATTTGAGATCGATTTTAAGTGGTCGTTATTCATATATCCACATTCATACATACATACATATACTACCCTTCATATCAATTCAAATTTATTACATGCGCCAATGCTTTTCATTTTCAATCTCATAAATGGTTTATAATGACTTCTGCTAAAATTTCAAAATCAAAAGTTATCTATACAAATGCTATGGGGCTAAGAAATATTATTTTCTAATTTTTAGTCCATTTATAAAGCGTTGTATATTAAAAAGCGTTATTTTATTTTATGTAAAAAATTTTGCAATAGATATTAAAATAATTAAACTTGTAATGAAAGAGAACAGAAGACTATGAAGCAAAATGTTGTTTGCTTACGTTATGTATAAACATACATATGTACATACATATAGTAGCAGTTAATTTCATTTAAAGAAATGGTATGTCGTCCATTTCCGCTGTAGCGTATGGAAATGGTGCATATATTTACGCGCAACATTTAACTTCTTCTTGCGGGGCGACATCTGGAGTCTTCTAATTTATCTCCTTGATATGATATCTACAACGAGGTTCATATCTAGACTAGGTTGATATCTAGAATTTGCCACAACTAGCTTTGCTACACTACCGCCGGCAGCTTTAACAATTTAATAGTGGTTTTACGTTCTTTGGCAAATTACGCTCTGTTAGCCATAAATCTTACTATTTTTTGACCGCCTTTGAATCAAGACCCCTTGACCATATAGGGAATTCAGTTATATTTTAAATTACATTGTCATCGTGATTGGAACTATGAAAATTTCAAGTCGCTAACTTGTCGGGAAGTTAGTTTAAAATCGATTGGAAATTTCCGCGATTTCCGCGGGATGACGAAGTTAAAAAGCTTGCAAAAAACGCGCCGTGTTTTCAAAGTTCGGAAAAAGGCAGCTCATTTTAAATATTTTAGCTTTTCTTGGCTCAATTAATTAAAAAAATCAAATTTTGTGATCAATATGGTATAATTATTTTCACTCAGACGTCATGATCAGCATTAATCAGATGGATAATATGGCTGACGAAAATTGTGAGTGAAACTACTTTCATATTTTTGCATCATGCCTATTCCTTTCACGGAGGATGAAATAATTTATGTATTATATATTTTTCATGATTTGAACAAGCGTTTTCTTATTTATTTCAGTGTATATATATCAAGTTCAAATCAAGAAAATATATTCTTGCTTATTTTAATTATTTTCTTAGGCTAAAAACATAGTGGTACGCGAGCAAAGCGACGAGCATAGCATTGAACAAAGCGTCAGTTACAAACATGTGTGAACGCTTTGCTCTTCCCCTGTCAGATTTTCGACTAGCCTAGAACTAGCGTAGAACTAGACCTTTTGCCGACAGTACCAGTGCTAGCTCAATACCCAAGCAATGCTTTCAACTGTCCAGTTCTACATGGCAATGACATCATTGGCGGTGGCAATTGTAGCCCAGTGCATTACTTTGCAACCAGTTTTTCACCGGTTCCATTTTGGACAGTTTTTGTTATAAGAAAACGTTTTTGAGATTCGATTTTTGGACATTTTTTTCGTTTTTTCTTTCCTCTTACAGATTCCGCTTTTGTTACATATTTAATTAAAAAATAATAATATTATAAGCTGCACGCAACAATTTAAATTCATTAAATTTGAAAACTCACACTGCCTCCACCGCGATTTGAACTCGTGACCAACGATGGTTGACTCCGAGGTCTTCTCGCTGAGCTACTTTCGTATTGTAGGAGTACACCGCAAGTTTCAACCGTCCCGCTCTGCATTCCTTATGCACTAGTTCAGAGATAGTTCTGAGATATGTAGTTCGGAAATAGCGCTTTTTCAGACTGTCTCTAACGCTGGCATTCAGTAAGCGGTATCTAGTCACAAATAGTGACTTTTGGTGGTGAACTTGGATTTTGAGACTATTTGGTATTCAGTACGCTGTCTCACGTCTCTAGTCTAAAAAAAAAGTCACTAATTTGTCAGCTGGCTAAGAGCAGGTCTCAAAAATACAAATATGGAGAAAAAGTTAATTGCTTTCCATTTTATTAAAAAAAAACACGAATATGAAGCGAGGAAATTTGTTCAATAAGAATTTCGTTAGGAAATAAACCAAGATGCTTTAATGTCATACAAATCAATTGAAAAAAACAATATTTTTTGTTTTTAGCATTAAAATCTAAAGATTATTAAAAAAATAAAACTAATAAAAAAAAAATATTAAATAATAAAAAATCCTCTACGCCCGAGGAGTACTCGAAGCCGGTCCCTCTCGACCGGTAGCCTAATGATTTGACCACTTGGCCATTGCTACTCTTCGGGCGGCGCGGCAAAGGCATACATAAACGCTATCAGTTGACTGTCTGTGTTTGTTTTCACCACACATTTTTGGGGAACTTTTTGTGACTCTCTCCTACTGAATAGCCAAATCATCTCAAGTCACAAAAATAGTCACTAATTGCTAATCTCAAGAGACTGAATTACTGAATCCCAGGGTAAATTTTACTGCAGGGTTACTATGCGCCCTACCATTGAAACATATACATACATACGTCTGTAATCGATGCTTTCCTCGATGCTCTTTGCTCGCCGCTCCACTATGTTTTTAGCCTTAGATTTTCTTGATAATAAGAATTTGTTTTCTAAGTTCAAAAACAAGTCTCGACTTTCTTGTGCTTTTTTTGGTTAAAGAAAAAAATTCTCTCCGTGAGCAGATTTCGAAGAGGGCAGTTAGCATGCTAAAAATGCTTAATATAACTTTTATTTTTCGAACAAACTTCTTTAATTTTTAATTTTTTATGTTTACCGCACAGCTCTGGCGCTGCAGAGCGCATTTTCTCAGATCTATCTTGATCAAAACAAATACAACAAATCGCTTCTCTTTGCCGATAGTGTAATGCATAATGTTTTCGAAATGCCTTAAAAATGATTAAAAAAAATTCAATGTTGATTTCTATGTTCATACGAAAGGTGTTCAGAGCGCTAATGCATAACTCAGTGGCATCACTTACTACATTTTTTTGATATTGCACACGGCAAACCTGTTACATATATAAGTTGTAGCAAAGATGTAAATAATACACAATCGCATTTATAACGTCTACAAGACAAAACCACTTTAGTCTTTTTATTTCATTTTGCTAATCTTCGCTATACGTTTGAGCGCAAAAACTCTTGCGCGACTTGTGACCCCGACGTGATACATAAGCACGGCTACTTGCCCGCGTTTGTACATAGTTTTGATTTCTCTATACATAGGCACCGTGCACTAATCACCAGATTTAACAGTTAACTTTGCGCAGTTGATGATAAACAATTTTCGCCTTTTGCCATCCAAAAGCCCAACGAGAATATATAAATCATGCGATTCAACAGTTAAATTGGCTGTACACATTTTTCGTTGTTTGCCAAACAAACAGTTATCTCGCAACAATTCGATTTAACAAAAGGTCTAGCAGTCAATTCCTTCGACTATACACAATCAATCAAATAGTTGAAAAAAATGTCGTTTTTAAAAAAGAAAGGCGAAACCTTGCTGCGGCAATTAAGTTTAACACCATCTAATTCAGAGGAACTCAGCGCCATGGATCACGCTGAGCTATCAGTGAGATTGGAGCAGCTGGATCGCATTCAGGATAAGTTCGAATCAACACAATCTCAACTGGAGGAAGAAGACCCCAACGAGCTGGAAACCAGCACTCGTAATGAATTCGCTGCCACTTTCATACGAGCAAAGGAAGCACTTACAAGGGAGTTGAATAAGATGGACCCCCAGTTTATGTCTTCGACGAGGAATCCACCGCCTCAAGAGCAGTCATCTGTGATTGTGGTGAAGCAACCAAAGTCGCGCCTACCGAAACTACAATTGCCATCATTTGTAGGGGCATACACAGAGTGGCCAAACTTTTTGGGCATGTTTCAAACGGTTGTTCACAATGACACCGAGCTGTCAAACCTGGAAAAGTTCCAGCACCTCCGTTCATGCCTGAAAGGCGCAGCAATGGACACCATCCAGTCGCTTGAAATTCGTGATGAAAATTACATAATTGCATTCGATTTACTCGTTCAAAGGCACACATTCAAGAACTATTCGGATTGCAGAGGGTGAGCGCTGACCAGAAATCAGGAGAACTGCGGGTGCTTGTGGACAAAGTTGTATCGCATGTTCGAGCGTTGCAATCACCTCTGAACAAATTGCCGATTGTTTACTTCAATACATCACAGCTCAGAAATTGGATGCTCTCACTCATACACTGCGGGAAGAAAAGGTGCCGGCTGACAAGCCGCCCACTTATTATTATTATTATTATTATGAGACTTGAGCACTGCTGCCCACTTGGACGGACATGGTTACGTTTTTGCATAGGAGGTGCCAGACTTTGGAGAATATGACTCACGCTATGGTAACACAGACACCTAGCGCACAGGTGAGCAATAACAAGTTTCGTAAAACCTCCATTATCATTTCAAAGGCTACTCAAAAAACCTGTTCGGTCTGTAATAAGCACGACCACGACATCTATTCTTGCCCATCGTTCGCCAATTTAAGCCCAAATGACCGCTGGAAGGAATCCAAAAGAGCTCAGCTGTGCATAAATTGCCTTAAACCAGGCAATCACGTGCAGCAATGCAAGTCTTCTGCTTGCCGCCGGTGCTCACTGAAGCACCATACGCTACTGCATTTTGCTCAAACGGATCAGACAATGCCTAGTGCAGCTGAGGTCTCACCTAGTCCACCACAGCAAACAGCTCTCGTTGCCATGGGAACAACCAGCGACTCACTCTCATCCACTTCACACGCCGGCTCAAACGAATGTGTGCTACTTGCGACTGCCGTTGTCTTAATTCAGAACAGCGCGGGCTCGCTTGTAACATGTCGCGAAACCCTCGACTATGCTTCGCAGCTTAATTTTATAGCGACCAGACTTGCCAATCAATTACAGCTTAAACAAGTAAGAAAGTCT